TTTCATTGGCTTTTAGATAGAGTAGAAGGGAGGGAGGAAGGGGGAGAAAGGGGAAAGAGAGAGAAAGAAAGAGACATTGATGTGAGAGAGAGACATCAATTGGTTGTCTCCCACATCCCCTGACCAGGTCTGGGGATCTAACCTGTGATCCTCAGTCCATGGGCTGACACTCTAACCCCTGAGCCAAACGGGCCATGGCCCCAATCTTTTTTATAAAAGTGAATATAGCCCTGGCTGGTTTGTCTCAGTGGTAGTGTTGGCCCTTGGACCAGTGAGTCGCGGGTTTGGTTTCCAGCCAAGGGCACGTACCTTGGTTGTGGTTCATGCCTGGCACTGGTCTGGGTCGTGCTGGAGGCAGTCAGTCGATGTATCTCTCTCATGTTGATGTTTCTCTCTCCCTTTCTCTCCCTCTCTCTCCCTCCCACTCTATCTGAAGATAAATAGAAAAATATTCTCGGGTGAGGATTAAATAAAAATAAAAGTAAATCATACTGAGTGTGATTCATACTAGAACACAAGTCTCTTGCCATCCCAGCAAACCCTCCACCCCTGCCCATACTTTAGCAGATTTTTTTTTTTATATATCCTCACCCGAGGACATTTTTTGTTCAGGTAGAGTGGGAAGGAGAGAGAGGAAGAGAGAAACATCGATGTGAAAGGGACACATCGAGTGGCTGCCACCCGCACGACCAACCAGGGCCGGGGACAAACTGCAACCAAGGTACATGCCCTTAGCGGGAACCGAACCTGGGTCTCTCGGTACCGCAGGCTGATGCTCTAACCGCTGAGCCAAACCGGCCAGGGCTAGCAGATCTTTTTTTTATTATGTAGATGCTATGGTTGATCTACAGAGGAAACAGTGAAGCCTCTAGAGAGTAGCCAGGAAGCGGGGGGTGGGGGAGGGGTGGAAGGAGAGATGGGGAAGATTTCATGGGGAACATTAGCATTAACTTGGTTCTTGATAATTATGTAAGTATATTCCAGGCAGGAACACAGGGAAATATTCTGGGCAGGGGCAGAACAAAGAGCAGAAGTATGAAGTTTTTTGCCATTAACATGTTACAGCTGGAGCACAGGCATAGGAGAGACAGGGTGAGGCAAGGGAACCACCAATCTGCTATAAGACTTAGGAAATAGTCAATGATCTGGGGTTCTTGATGTTGTGATTTAGCCATTGACTTAGTACACACCAGTTTAGATATTATAGTTAAGTAGACAAATAAAAATGGACCTTAGAATAAGAATAAATAAAATGTAAGAGTTCTATCGTTGTAAAATTCTCTGTTTCATATGGTTGTCAGACACTTAATAGTATATGTGGGTGGCACCGATATCACGGAAATCAATTTATATAAATTAAATGTAGTGTTAGTGACTTGATTTAACTTCTTTATTATATTAGTTTCAGGTGTACAGCATGTTGGTTAGACATTTATATAACTTACTAAGTTATCCAACATCGATAAATCTAGTACCCATCTGGCACCATGCATAGTTATTATATTATTGACTATATTACCTATGTTACACTTTACATCTTCATGACTATTTTGTAAGTACCAATTTGTACTTCTTAATCACTTCACCTTTTTTACCCAGCCCTTTAATTCCTCTTCTATCTGGCAACCATGTAGTTATTCCCATTTTATTACTTATATTTTTTTAACCTTTTCTTCTTCTTAAAGAAGTCTTAAACATTTCTTGTAATACTGGTTTGGTGGTGATGAACTCCTTCAGCTTTTTCTTGTCTGGGAAGCTCTTTATCTCTCCTTTGATTCTAAATGATAACCTTGCCAGATAGAGGAATCTTGGTTATAGGTTCTTGTTTATCATCACTTTGAATATTTCTTGCCAGTCCCTTCTGGCCTGCAAAGTTTCTCTTGAGAAATCAGCTGACTGTCTTATGGGAGCTCCCTTGTACGTAACTATCTGCTTTTCTCCTGCTACTTTTAAGATTTTCTCTTTGTCTTTAACATTTGGTATTTTAATTATGATGTGTCTTGGTGTGGGCTTCTTTGGGTTCATTTTGTTTGGGACTGTACTTCCTGGACTTGTGTGTCTATTTCCTTCACCAGATTAGGGAAGATTTTCTGTCACTATTTATGCAAATAGGTTTATAATCCCTTGCTCTCTCTTCTTCTGATACCCATATGATGTGAATTATATTACTCTTGGTATTGTCCCAGAAGCCCCATAAATATCCTCATATTTTAAAAAAATTTTTTTACTGTTCTGATTAGGTGTTTTTTGCTACCTTCTCTTCAAATCACTGATTCAGTCCTTTGCTTCATGTTATCTGTTATTGATTTAATCTAATATATTCTTTACTTTGGTTATTGTATTCTTTATTTCTTACTGGGTTTTTTTAATGGCTGCTATTTCTGTGTAAGTTCTGACTGAGTTCATCTATTCTCCTAAGTTCATTGACATCCTTATAAGCAACACTTACAGTGTTGTGAACTCTGTATCTGGTAGATTGCTTATCTCCGTTTTGTGTAGTTCTCTTTATGGAGTTTTGTTCTGTTCTTTAACTTGGAAGATTATGTCTCCTCATTTTGGCTGCCTCCCTGTGTTTGTTTCTAAGTATTAGGGAGATCTGTTATGTCTCCTAGTCTTGGCATGGCGGCCTTATGTAGTTAGTGTCCTGTGGGACCCAGTGGCTCAGTCTTCCTGTTCACCTGAGCTGGGTGCTCCAGGGGTGTCCCTCATGTGGATCCTGTTGTAGTTGTGCCTTGATTGCAGTTGGCAGGTCAGTGGGACCCTCAGGCTGGCTGCTGTGAGGACTGGCCATGACTACAGCAGACCAGCTGTTGTATAGGGACTTGACCCCACAGAGTGGATTTTGCTTGGCGGGGCTAAGTTTCATTTGGGTGTTTCATTTGTGGAGCTGTTTGGGTGGTGTTCTGGTAAGGTCTGAAGCCAACCAGGTGTGTTGGTTCTGGGGCCTCTTGGGACGGGCTCTGGTGCAGGCAAAAGTCGGCAGCTGCCTGAGCCCGGCCTGGAACCACTTGGCAGAAGCTACAGAGTGATCTGTACTTGGTAACTTGGAGGTACCTGGGAGAAAGAATATGCTATAAACCGAGACCAGCTGCCATTAGAGCTGGGAGCCACTCAGCAAGAGGTACAGAGCACACTGAGACCAGCCACTGATTGTTTAGAGTTTGTGGACCTTTGAGAGATTTTAGGAAAGTCTGTAGTGTGGGCCAGGGTCCCACTGGTACATTGGTTGGGTGGGGCGGGTTCTCGGGTTATCATCAGGGTGAGACCAGTGAGTGGTATTAGCTAGTTTGATGGAGACTCAGATTTGGCGCCCTTCTGGGAGGGCTCAGCAAAGGAACAGTGGTTACCTGCCAACACTCTGTCTGGACCAGAGCTGCTTCTGATCCTGTACCCTGAAGCTAAACCATTCAGTTCTTTCTCATACATCCCTGGTGCTTTTCAAGCTGCTGCCCAGCACTGGAGCTCAGAGCAAGGGAGTAAGTCCATGCACAGGCCCTTTAAGAGGAACATCTGGGACTCCAGCAGCCCTTCATCTTACCCCAAATGAATACCCACTGATTTTTACAGCCAGATATTGTGGGGCTGGAACTCTTCACTCCTCAGGGGAGACCTCTACAGATAAGATATCCCTCTAGATTTTTTTAAAATATGTTTTTTTTTTTTAATCTTCACCCAAGGACATTTTTGCATTTATCTTCAGATGGAGTGTGTGTGTGGGGGGTGGGGACGACTTCAAGTTGGGAGAGACACATTGAGTGGCTGCCACCCACATGACCCCAACTGGGGCGGGGACAAACTGCAACCGAGGTACACACCCTTAGCGGGAACTGAACCTGGGACTCGCTGGTCTGTGGTTCGACACTAACCACTGAGCCAAACCGGCCAGGGCTAAAAAATATGTTTTTAATGATTTTCTTTGAAGAACGGAAGGAGAGAGAGATAGAAACATCGGTGTGAGAGAGAAACATTGATTGGTCGCCTCCTGCACACCCCGCACTGGGAATCGAGCCCACAACCCAGGCATGTGCTCTGACTGGGAATCAACCTGTGGGACCTCTCAGTCCATGGGACGACGCTGAGTCCACTCAGCCACTCCAGCCGGGCTCCCTCTAGATTCTTAACCGCCACAATTTAGTTATAATTTTGATGTGGTCATCGGAGGAGGCAAGCACAGCGTTCTCTGTGCTATTGCTTTTGTTTTCTCAAGGCAATTAGTTTTGGGGATGATGAAAACCCTTAGAAGTGCCCATATTGAAAGAGACATTAATTCCTATTGGCTATCTCAGCTCAGAAGTACTTTGTTCACCTCTCCATTCTTTTGTATTGCTAGTTGTATTCAGTCAAACACTACAACAAATATGTGTTCCCCAAGTAGCTGAAATCTGAGTGCTCAGACTCAGTCCCATGCCCTCAATTTTGACTACCTTTCTGAGGTTTGTAATTTATATGATCTTAACACAAGAGCAGAATACCTCCTTGTTTCTCAAAAGTCAGCTTGAAGTTGACTTTATATTCTTAACTAATACCCAAAATATTCTCAAGAAGGGATGGGACTGAAGTTTAGCAGACAGGGAAAGATCAAGAGGACGCTGTCATTCTGTAAGAGAACAGAATAGTATATAAGTCATCTATACTAAAATCTCTAGAATTAGTGTGTATGTAATCTTACATGAAATAATGGTTGACCTTTGCAATTTAGATCAAAATTTGGTTTGTCATCTAATAGACGTGACAGTTTCTTCATGGAATAGCTATGTGATATGTGTCCTTTTATGGGGGGAAGCAAGGGTTCAGGCACTATTAACCCAGCTGCATTTATTTTTTCCTGTTGTTCCTTACACCCCCATCCTCCTTCTATAAATCCATACAACCTACCTTCTTTATCTGTTAATCACCTTAATCAACTGATGGATCTGTTTGTGTTTTAGTGGTATAAGATTATGATTAACCCAGCTGACATCATCTGTACCATAACAACTCTATTCTTTTCCTTCTAATAGGTGACAGAGCTGAATGAGCCACTGTCCAATGAAGAAAGAAACCTTCTTTCTGTGGCCTACAAGAATGTAGTTGGGGCACGCCGTTCTTCCTGGAGGGTCATTAGTAGCATTGAGCAGAAGACTTCTGCAGATGGTAATGAAAAGAAGATAGAGATGGTCCGTGCTTACCGTGAAAAAATAGAGAAGGAGTTGGAAGCGGTATGTCAGGATGTGCTGAGTCTGCTGGATAACTACCTGATCAAGAATTGCAGTGAGACCCAATATGAGAGCAAGGTGTTTTACCTGAAGATGAAAGGGGACTATTATCGCTACCTGGCTGAAGTAGCTACTGGAGAGAAAAGGGCAACTGTTGTAGAATCATCTGAGAAGACCTATAGCGAAGCCCATGAGATCAGCAAGGAGCATATGCAGCCTACTCACCCCATTAGATTAGGCCTGGCTCTTAACTACTCCGTTTTCTACTATGAGATCCAGAATGCCCCAGAGCAAGCTTGCCACTTGGCCAAGACCGCCTTCGACGATGCCATTGCTGAGCTCGACACTCTCAATGAGGACTCCTACAAGGACTCCACTCTCATCATGCAGCTTCTTCGCGACAACCTAACGCTCTGGACAAGCGATCAGCAAGACGACGATGGTGGAGAAGGCAACAATTAAGGCCCCCCAGGTGGACTGGCAGCGCACGCTGATGCTACTACTGCAGTCTTTATTTTTTTCCCATGAGTTTGGGGGTCGGGTGGGGGAGGGAAAAGGAGGGATGACCTTCCTAGAGAGAAACCCATGACCTGTCCTGTCTTTGATCGCCTCTTTGACATATTTGCCAAAATACCACTAGTGGAAGTCAGGCTAGCTGTGCTGGTATTGGAATAGCGGCCTCACACCGGCATATGGACTGTTCTGTAGATTAATGCAAGTGGAGCTGTCTGTCTTTAATTTAACTTATTGCTAGATAATAGGATTTTAGGACAAAAAGAAAACTTCAGTGGAATGGCCCTCATTCAGTAAGTTCTGTGGTTCCAGTAAGGATTTTTATGTACATATGCTCTTGTCTTAAGTTTTGGGTATTTTCTATCTCATTTGTTTTAGCTGTGCATTTTTTTCAGGGTGTACTCTACCAGACATGAATAGTTTAAATCCCAAACTGACAGACTTAGAACATAAGGTATATTTATCCTTATGGTTTAGGCCTTGCTAGTTTTCTGAAGTCTCTGATTAGTAGACAGTATTAACACTAAATTGCAGTTTACAGTATTTCTACATTACAGCCATATGTAACATCAAGCCATTGATTGTGTATTTTTCTTTGATAGTTATTTTGGCTTTACATCCTTATTCAGCCTTATCCAGGTTGGTTATCTCTCTCCTAGGCCAAAGGCTTGCCTGAGGAATATCAATGCTACTTTAGGTTTTGGTTAATAGGTGCTTGGCGGGTGGCTATGGGATTTTCGTCTTTCTTTCCTCTTAAATCCACCACAAAAATTATTAATCACTTTAATAGAAATGTTAAACACCACAAAAATGGAGAAAATTCAGGTCTGTATGTCACTTATTGCATCGATACTTTCAGAGAACTCCTGATTTGTAAGCTGCCACAGCTCCTTCCTCAGGGATTATGCTGCCATTTCACTCTTCACTTGAGTCTTCCCCACTGTACCTTATGCTGACACCACTCAGTTGGGTTGTAGAAGCCGGGTGGTCATTTTGAGAAAGTTCATAGTGCAGTGTGTGAAAATTCAGGTGCTAGAAGCTTACTGGTAGAAAAATCCAAAAGGAAGAGCTCTATTCATAAACTTTGTCCCGGTTCTGGGAGCCTTGTAAATGTGTCAGTTTTTCCTCCCTGAAAACACTCTTTCCCCAATTAATTGTTACAGGAAAACAAACTAAAATCATTATCGGATAATAAATAAATCCTATTTGACCAAAACTTTTTCTATATATTTTTTTCTCTTCAATAAAAGCATAGAAATCAGAGATTCATTTCGTGTGCAATCAGTGCACGTTTTAGAATGGAAGGAAACCACATTGCTGTTTTCACAAAGTTGTTTTCATTTAGCCTAGGTCCTTCATTCTCATTTAGGATAAATCTGTCTGAAAACATGGTCTGTTGCATGTGTGTTCAGCCTTTTTTATAAGATCAGTAACTGTGAACTCCCAAGATAGATAATTACACCAGACTTGTTTTCTTTCTTTGTTTTATTTAGGCAAGGAGAGGTATCAGTAATGAATGAGGAAAACTGACACTTGCTTTTGCTAAAACCACAATTGAGCTTACAATTATGAAATGAATACATTTAAAGAGATCCAGGTGACAGTAAAGAGAGAATGGTGATGATACTCTATAACATTGCAGTTTATCAGCATGACTTTTCTTAGAAGGTCCCCTTCCTATGCTAGAGTGAAAGTCCCCAACTAACCGTACCCTACCAGAACTAATAGAAGAAAGCTCTACAGGGCCCTAAAGTCAATGCCATGGATGGGAAAAGATTTGGGGTGGGGGTAGGTTGGGTTTTCCTTAATTTATCTTCCATGTCCAGTGAACAGTGTTGTGTCATTGTAGCATTTGGAAATGATTTACTGGAATTACAAAACCCATATATATATTTTTAATTTCAGCTTTAGCTCTGGCTGCTTTTTATAATCAAGATAAAATCATACCTGAGGGCTAAAAATTGAAGAGGGAATGGGCGACTTGATATTTAAGCAGCTTGAATGGTTTCTTTTTTCTTTATTTTTAAAGAAATGCACTTGCCTATGATACTGTCTCTCCAGTGAAATGATTACTCCTCCATTACTCTATTGATACAATATTGTGCATGCTAGTGTTGTATTTCTATACAGTAGCTTGAAATTTATTTATTTATACTGTAGGTGTTATGTATTTCTATGACAAAAAAAAATTGTCTACAAATTTTTTAAAGTTTTTTAAATTTAATTTTTCCTTTTGGAGGTAAAAGTTTGCTCTACCAAATAGTGATTGTAACAAATTGATCTGTTTTGGATGTTGCTATAGTGACATGCAGTTATATATTTTGTTTTTAAGGGGGGGGGCAAAGAAACACCAGTGTTAGCTTAATCTTAATGTCTGGTGTTTGTCATGGTGAAATTATAACTATTACAGTGTAGAGAACAATGAATATGTTCTCTGAATGAGCCTTTGTGCTTTTTGTCATGTTATGCAGTGAACTATTTTTAAGGTCTAATCAGTGATTATTTTTCCAACTCCATGTTTCTCTAAGGAATTATTTCACACACGGACCATTCTTAGCAGTTTTCCTCAGTGATGGAATATCATGAATGTAAGTCATTATGTAGCTGTCGTACATTGAGCAAATAAACTTACAGATCTGATGTCAGTGCTACATAGTGTTATTTAATGAGTTTAAATTTTCCGTTGCTTTTGAAGATTTGATTGGATGTGAGTGTTTTCTCCTTTCCTCTTTCAAAGAATGGGGTTGGATTGGGGGAATGGGGTAAGACAGTATCTACTGGAAAGCGCCTATATCTGGGAATAAGACTTGGGTTTACTGACCTTGAAAAATCATTGCATCTTTTGGGCCTTCATTGTTTCTCCTACAAAATGAGTGCCTTCAACAAGATCTTTGAAGGTGGCGTAAAATATTTGAGAAGTGCAAAAACCTTAGTTTGAATCACAACTCCTTTTGATCTTGGGGCAAATGACTAAACTGAACCTTGGGTTGTGTTGGGGGCTGTAAGTCTAAATAAAAACTGGGTCCTGTGCCTGGTTCAGTCTCTCTCAATTAATTAGGTGCCCAGTATTGTTGCAGACCTCATTAGCTATTACATGAGGTGATTCTTTGTACTTATAAGTATATTGTCTTGGGTTTTTTTAGTCCTGAGGCGGTCAGCAGCCATGGTTAGTGTGGGCTGAGCTCTTAACAGCCTGCTATTGCTGATGGCAGCTGTCAGAATATGTCCACCATCTGAATTGAATCCCTGGGTGTGTGGGCTGTTCGCCTTGACCAGGTATGAGGAGGGCTTTGTGTACAGGAAGGAATGCTGGGGCAAAGGCTTTCCTCCTCCATCAACTTGGGTGTGTTCCAGCAAAGGAAGGGGACGAGGTACTGGTTCACACAGTGGAAGAAGATGGCTTTTTAATTACTTGAGAAATTGTTCATATTTTAGGTATAACACTGTGTGACTAGGTTTTTGCCTATGTAATCAATGAATTCATCACTCAGAAACATCCTGAGAGTACTGCTACAACTACAGCTGTGGAAATAGAAGTGACAGATGTGCCTAAGGTCCTGTAGCTTGCTGATAAGCCCACATCAGAGCTCCACCCAATCTTTGGCCCTCCTGAGCTCTGCCTACTAACACTAGGTTGTGCTCAGCTAGGAGATTCAGAAACTGAGCAGCAGCCAACATTCAGCCACATTGACTGAGCACTTTTAATGAGGGAGTTACTGCCCTGGCTGGTTTGGCTCAGCGGTTAGAGCATTGGCCTGCAGTCCAGAGAGACCCGGGTTCGGTTACTGCTAAGGGCACGTACCTTGGTTGCAGAAATAATGTGGGAGTTACTGAGGGCAGAGAGATGATCAGACATCTTGCTAACAGGAAGGTATAGATACGGGTGAGATCAGAACAGTCAACTTATTGAAAATAACAGACTTGCCGGGCCAGTGTGGCTCAGTGGATTGAACACCATCCCATGGACTGCGAGGTTCCGGTTCGGTTCCTGGTTTGATTCCTGGTGAGGGCACATGCCCAGGTTTCCGGCTTGATTCCCAGTGAGGGGTGTGTAGGAAGCAGCTGATCTATGTATCTCTCACATCGATGTTTCTATCTCTGCCTTCCTTTCTAAAACATCAATAAAAACATTAAAAAAAAGAATAACAGACTTCCCAATGCTTGTCAGAAAGAAAGTGTAGCTCCTAGAAGTTGCTATTTTTTGTTTGTTTTGTTTTTTTTCTTTATTGATTTTAGAGAGAGGAAGGGAGAGTGAGAGAGAGAAACATCAATGAGAGAACATCAATTGGCTGCCTCCTGCACACCCCCCACTGGGGATCGGGCCCATAACCTGGGTATGTGTCCTGACTGGGAATCAGACCAAGACCTTTTGGTGCACGGGTTGATGTTCAATCACTGAGCCACACTGGTCAGGCGAAGTTGCTATTCTTATACCCTTGTTCCTTCCATGTAACTTACTGTTACAAGTGCCTGGAATTTGACAGGAGACTGGAATTTGCATCGAGGTTTTCCACAGACACTTAAATTTCTCTTGAGATAAAATGCTGTCTGTTGTGTTTCTGTGTAGTTTTAATTAGTTCCTTAATGTAGTAGTTTTCAAACTTTAATCTCAGGACCCCTTTACACAACTCTTAAGTGGTTTTGTTTATGTGTAGTGTATCTAAAACTGGAAACTAAAAATACTCATAAGTAGTTGGAAAAGGATGGCCCTAGAGAGTTCAGGTTAAGAAAGTTCTAATTCACGAATTGCATGATGCCCGGGGTTAGTCACCAAGGAGCAGTCCTGTTCCTCAATACACTTTAGAATTTTAAAAATTACTGATAGTGCGAAGCAATTAAATGTGATGAGAGAGGGGCAGGAGAGTAATTATAAAAGAATGAATGACCCACTCTGCTTGAGGCATCCACAAAGTACAGTTTCCATTCCTAGAACTTCATAGGTGGAGTGGAGGGGCCATCAAATGAGATTTAGTGGCAAGGGACCTAAAAGTGTAGCAGGTAAATTGCTGTTCGGTGTGAGTGGTTTTCCTCCTCTCTATTTATGTGTCATTACCACATGCATTGGCCTCTGTGCTGGTCAGCTGAAACTGCATGTTGACTCACTGCTGATCTGAGTGGCTAAGAATGGCAGCTACCTCTTCTTGGGTAGAGAAACTCTCTGAAGCAAGCGTGGAGAAACTATCTGAAAACTAGCTAGGTAACACTATTCTCTGTTTCTAAGAGTTGACATTTAGTGGTCATCAGCCTAATCAGAACATTAAAATGTGGGATACCAGCTTGGATAAAGATAAATGAGGTTAAATCGGAATGGCCACAAACCCCACCTCTAACTGCAGATACCTGTGATCAGTGAGGAACTTGGGGAGAAGAGTGGCTGGGTCACACTGATGTATCCTCAGTACCAGGGTTTAGGATTGTTGGGGTCTCATCTTCACACTGAATCCACATCTGGCAAAACAAGATGCTTTAGGATTTCCCAATTTAATATTCTGAAATGGCACTCAATTATCCATAGTATGGGAAAGGAAAGTCAATAGAAATTATTTTGGGGAACATTTTTTTGTTTGTTTTTATTTCAATAGGTAGTACATGTGTGTTAAAAATACAAACAGGTGTAGTCTAAAACAGGTTTTTTGCATTGCCTTTGAGCTAAGAATGGTTTTTTTTTGTTTGTTTTATCATCCTCACCAGAGGACATTTTTCCATTTTTTGTTCAGATAGAGTGGGAAGGGGAGAGAGGGAGGGAGAGAGAGAGAGAGAAACATCGACATGAAAGGGACACATTGAGTGGCTGCCTCCTGCATGACCCAACCAAGGCCGGGGACAAACTGCAACCGAGGTACATGCCCTTAGTGGAACTGAACCCGGGTCTCCCTGGACTGCAGGCCAACGCTCTAACCGCTGAGCCAAACTGGCCAAGGCCTAAGAATAGTTTTTGAAAAATCTTCATTGATTTTTTTTTTTTTTTTATCCTCCCTCATCTGAGGACATTTTTTCCAATTTTTGTTCAGATAGAGTAGGAAGGAGAGAGAGGAAGAGAGAGAGAGAGAAACATCGATGTGAAAGGGACACATCGAGCGGCTGCCACCCACACGACCCAACCAGGGTCGGGGACAAACTGCAACCGAGGTACATGCCCTTAGCGGGAACTGAACCCGGGTCTCACCAGACCGCAGGCCAACACTCTAACTGCTGAGCCAAACCGGCCAGGGCTTCATTGATTTTTTTTAGAGAGAGAGGAAGGGAGAGAGAGAAACATCAATGTGAGAGAAACATTGATCGGCCGCCTCCTGCACACCCCCTACTGGGGATCGAGCTTGCAACCCAGGCATGCACCCTGACTGAGAATTGACCTTTTGGTGCATGGGACTATGGGCTGGTTTTTACATTCTAAAGGGTTGCAAAGAAAAAGTGCAGCCCAGCTGGTGTGGCCCAGTGGATTGAGCACTGTCCCATGAACTGACAGGTTCTGGTTTAATTCCGGGTCAGGGCCCATGACTGGGTTGCAGTCTCGATCCCCCAACATGGGACATGCACGAGGCAGCTGATTGATGTTTCTCTCTCAGGTCAATGTTTCCATCTCTGTCTCCCTCTCTCTCTCTCTCTCTCTAAAAAATCAATAAAACATTTTAAAAGAAAAAAGTGCAGAGAGCGACATAGTATTGCCCATAAAACTTAAAATATTTACTGTCTTTTCTTTTTTTAAATAATTTTCCTTTATTGCCCTGGCCAGTTTGGCTCAGCGGTTAGAGCGTCGGCCTGCGGTCCGGAGAGACCCGGGTTCGGTTCCCGCTAAGGGCACGTACTTCGGATGCAGTTTGTCCCCAGCCCTGGTTAGTCGTGCGGGTGGCAGCCACTCGATGTGTCCCTTCACGTCGATGTTTCTCTCTCTCTCTCTCCCTTCCTCTCTCTCCCTCCCACTCTG